GCCAAGTCCGCTCTTGTGTTTTTGGTAAAGTTTGAACATCGGGGGCAAGGTGAATTTGTTCTGAGATGTTTCTAAGGGAAATGCAGGCATCACTGTTTTCAGTTGGACCCTTGGGACCAAATGGAGGTTGGTGAACTTGGTTGCCGATGCACCAGCATAGGATCCCTGTACAAACAGCACCGATTCCTTGTGGGTCCGGACCGATCGCGGCGATCGAACGCGCAACTCAATCGATCGAGGTTCGAGATCCATCGCTTCTCCGATGGCAAGCTGCAGGCCTCGACTTTTCCGCCCTGTTACTTTCAGGATTGTTATTTTATTTTTGGTGTCTGTGTGTGGGGTGGTGGTGTCAATTTTGAGAGGGCTGCAAATCATACCTTGTACCTTGTGGGCCAATGTGATGTGAGTCTCGTTTTGGCGCGGTGATGTTTCAAGGAGAAATATCAGGGTTTCTCCAACTGGTGAGCCTCTTGGTTCAAGGGAAGCCAAAAGGACACCAACCATTTTAGGGGACCAGTTTGAGAACACCCCGCCGCTTGGGTGCTCCCAATCGCAGGCTCGAAATCTGCGAGCCCTCGGCGACGTCAGCGACTTCAAAGGCAGCAGCTACGGCGCCAACAGGCGGACGAGGGACCAGTTCCGCTGAGACGGCGCCAGTTTTGGGGGGGGAGGGCGCGATGGGAGAATTGCTGGTGGCAAGGCGGATCTGGGCTGGACGCTAATGTTGACCAAGATGAATAAACCCAAAACACACGCCCATTCGCAGTCGGACTGGTCCGGAACCTTTGCTTGTCCTCTTGCTTTTGCCAGAGCCTCTTAAAAGATACAACTTGGACAATGCAACAAGCCAAAAGGAACAAACTTTCAATTTTGGGGTAATGTTCAGGTGGATAGTTCAAGAACCACTGCTTGTTTCGGACATATCTTTCTTAGGGTTTGGTAGCTTCTTCCAGGCGGGAATCGTATGAAGGTGAGTTTGCCTCGTGAAGGGTGATTTGAAGGCTTTTCACGTTTGAAACTATGTTTGACTGAGTTCCCCACTCTCGATTGGTCCGTATTCACTGGTGCATGACATGCTTGAGGCCGCGGTCAAATGGTGCAGCGGCTTGCTTGCGAAGGGAGCGCATCTTTGCAGTTAATGAATGGCTTGTGTCCCAGGCAGGTTAGTGCGTGCTGGGTGGCATGAGCATTTCGCTTGGCTTACCTGTTTCAGGTAAACTTCATCTGTCACCGGCAATTCTGTCACCCTCGCGAGGTGGCTTTGTCACCGGCGAGTGGTTGTGGCTCTTTGGGTCGATCGTTCTCACGGCAAGAGGGAGGTTTCCCTGCACCAGCCGGAGGTTCCATGCACCGGCCAGTTCAGTGGATATTGCAAGAGCCCCTGCCCCTTTTGTTTTTTGTTTTTTTCCAAGGGACATCTAAAGTATTCCAGCCGTTCAGAGGGAAGAAGGGAACCCCCGCCCCCATTCGAGGGGAGGCTTCCCCTAGAGACGACCCTTGTCATATGAGAGCCTGATGGCACGTATTCCGCGCTGGAAATTCCTCGCAGGGAGTACGGCGCCGGTGTGCGCGCCCAGTTCTTCAACGCCAACCGCACCACGGGTTTGCAGGACTCCGGGTCGACCGAATGCGCTGCCAGAGCGGGCCCTTTTCTTCCCCGAGACCTCCAGGTGAAAATCATGCTCTGCTTTTTTTTTCTTTTTTCTTTTTTTTTGGGGGGGGGGCGTGACCACCAACAAGGAGATATGTTTGGCGACCCCCCCTTTGTTTTCAATCACCAGAATGGCCCTTTTTCCTGTCTCCGGGGCCTCAGCTCGCATATCCGAATTGGGTTTAATCGACCCAGGTCACACCAGGGGTTTTATTAAAGCAGCGGGTTTTCTGAACATCTAAAAAGTAGGACCTTTGGGGGATGCTTTCTGCTCGTATGGACTTAGAAACTATTCCAACCCCAAGAGGTTGCAAAATATACTCCATGTACTCCCTCCCTTACCCCCTTCCCGAATTCCCTTCCCGCCTGTCCGCCGTCCGACTTCCGCGCCCTTCCGCCCTCATCCCACTCCGATCCGTCCGCCGCCACTTTCCGGACCTTCCGCCCGATACCGATCCCTTCCGTCCCCGGCACTCACCTTCCCCCGGCCCGTCCGCCGGCCGCCCTTCCCGTCCGAACTTCCGCGTCCGGCCCGTTCAGAAGCGCGGATTTCTTTTGCCGGCCGCGGTTTCTGCCAAGATTTGCCAAGGGTTCCTATGTTTCCCCTTGGCTTGGTTTGAACACCACCTTTGGGGCCTGTTTTAAAGTTCTGCCCAAATTGACTCCCATGGAGAGGTTAGGATCTTTTATACTGATGGCTCCAGCCTGAATCCGACTGCCCCTTTCGGGGCCATTGCCAGTTGGGCCATAGTTGAAGACCTTGCCAATCATGATAGTGATCGGATTAGCCACTGGCGCAGGTACACCGAGAACTGGGTCCTGCCTGACAGCTTTCACTGTGTGCAGACTTCAACCGTTACTGGACGGCAGACTGTAGCCAGAGCCGAGCTCTCTGCCCTCGTTCAGGTTGTCCGATCCTGTGATGCCGCCATTATCTGCACAGACAGTAAGTACGCCATGGACCTGTTTAACCAGGTGGCCGGGTGCAGCCAAGCAAAAAAGTACATTAAGTATGAAAATTTTGACCTGATCATCATGCTTTGTGACTTGTTCTCCTCAAAAAGGGCTGCCGACTTTGTCACTCTAAAGATCAAGGCCCACCTTGAAGACGAACAGATCACAAGTCCGCTTCAGGGGTACGCAGTCTTGGGAAACCGCCATGCCGATTATGCCAAGAAAGCAGCTTCGCCCGAAGCTAGTGCCTTTGCAGCTCGTGCATTTGAGGTGTGCGCTTTTTATAAGAAACAGACCAGGCTCAAAAAAGGTTTCTTTGAACTTGCGGTTCAACTTGACAAAGTGCGCCTCGATGCCCTTGACAAGAAGCGCATTGCCGAAAAGCTTGAAAGCAAAAACCGTTGCACTGCCACAGCTCTGAAAGCATGGCAGCCTCAAGAGTGTGCGCCCCTACCACCGATTCAGCTGACTGATGATCAGCTAGCTTCTTTCCAGTCAGGCGCCTCACTTACTGTTGTTCTATGTGAATGGGCTGCAACATTGCAGTGGCCGAACATCAAGCACCCTGATGACCCAGGAATTGCCCTGGTCGAACTTGTGTACAACTTCTTGCTGGTCACACAGACCACACTGCCCCGCATTGTAGCTAGATCTGCAAATCGGGTGACCTACGAGTATCCAACAGACCAAGGGCCCTTGGCCCTCCTTCCTGGTGCCTTGGAGGATGCATGCCGCCTATTTGACGCGCTTGATAAGCAACTTAAAAAATTCTATGGGAAGGACCTCTTCCCACTGCACCTTCGAGGCAAGATGCCTTTCCTTCGATACTTTGGTTGCAGTCAAAAACGCGTCGGCTACTATGCCAGACCACTCATGCTTCGAAGCCTTGAAACAATCAGCGGAATCGCGGAAGGCCTTCGAAAAGGCACAACCAACTCGTTGCACGTTCCCAACATGCCACCGCTCATTCAGAAGAGACATCATCCAAATGATGACCTGTCGCCGGATGAGGTATATGCCACCTTCCGTAGGCACCAACAGCGTGCTTACGCCAGGTGAGGGCAAGTCTTGCCCAGGGGCGTGAATTCCGTCCCTTTTTCGTTCTGGGGGCCCCCGTCAATCGACAAGGGCGTTTCAGCGGACATGGATTGAAGACCGCAGCCTTGTTTTAAAGTGAGTTTCCTTTGGTGGGGTAATGTTCAAAGAGACAATGCAGGGCTTGGTTGAATCGGATGTCACGTACTGTGTATGGACAAACGACACTTCGCGCCAGTTGGTAGGTGGTTTGTCCCAGCATTGGATGCGTGCTTCATCCATGCGAGCTGGCGTCAGTAGGACTGAGTTTCTTGGCTTGGTGCGAGCGACCTTTGAACTCTGAGTAGGAGGTCCGGCCAAGGAGATCCCAAGGTGCATTCCCTGAACTCGAAGTATGTTTACTGAGACGGCGATTTTGCTTTCCTTATAGTGCTCGGCCCCCCAATTTTTCTGTTGACCAGGTGTGGAGAGTAACAACACCCCCCCTCCAAGCACAGATAAGCAACATTCAGGTTTTTGGGGCACTCAGTTTTTGAGGCGCTTTCTCTTTCCTGGTTTCGTGGGAAGCGGGATCGGTTTTAGGCGATGCCAACCTTTGCGCGAGTGGCCAAGAAAGGCCCCAGGAAAGGAGAGCAAACCCTCCAGCCTGGCAGCAAGGGGAGCTGGCCTTGCCAACTTGGAACTAGGCGCTCTCCAAGAACACAACCCAAGTCTTTTTCAAGCATTCAAAAAAGGAGTGTCCCTTTCTTGAGACATACGCTGCAGTTTCTGTGGGGGTATCACTTTCGCAGGATGAGGATCGCAGCAGGGACTGGTACTGCAAGAGTTGCCGGAGCCCCAGCTTTCGGCCAGAGTCCAGAGACCATTGGGATCTTCATGACACGGGCCCCTTTCGGATGGTGTTTAAAGGGAGGCCAAAAGCAAAAGGACACAGCTGGCAGTTTAGGGGGACGCCTATTCTGAGAGACACCCGCAGAAAGAATTGGCAGCCTGATATGGCAACTGTTCCAACTTGGGTTTGCAAGACTATTTTCGGTTTTAGGGTAGACCAAACACGAACCAGATTCTAGACGATCTTCTTTTCTGTACCTCATGCCAAGGTAGCTGGTGGAGCCCATGGATCCAATTGAAGGTACCGAACGACCGTCGTTTCGGAAGCACAGGAGAAGTGGCGTGAAACCCAACACGACCACCGGATTTTTCCGATTCGCCCATGTGCCACGCTCATTTATGACGCTCTTTGGGGTAGCATGGATGGTCACCAGAACAACAGGGTTCCTTAAAGGATACAATTTGGTAAAAGCAATCACCCACATACTGGCTGATTTGGAAGATCCAAATCCTGGAGAGGGTGGCTTTTGGGTGTATCCTTTGAGGGACCGTGCAAAGCCACAGGGGCGGAGTTTGAACGTTGGGGTGATACAAGTCGAGAGTAGATCATGGCTACGACCACGAAAAGCAATCCCCAAACAGTATTTGATTATGTGTTTGTTCTTCCTTTCTCAATAGTGATTGGTGGACATACATTCCCCACGTTTGGTTCAGCATGTTCATCAAAGGTCTTAATAGAAATTCACGCTTCTGGAAGGTCCTTTGCAGGCTTGTAAAGACTTGTGCATACCCCGAGATCATCTAGCGGATCAAAAGGGACTCCAAGCCATGTCTTCATGGTAGCGGAGCTCTCGGGCACGATCAGGGGCAAGTCCGCGGCCAAGGACAAGCTCTACAGGAGGAGGATCGGGGTTCCCCGAGAGCGGCCAGCTGGGCCACGGAGGGGAGCGGCCGAGTCGAGGTCGGAGGACGCTCGGCAGCTGCAGAGGTTTGAGGAGCTGCAGCAGCGAGGCGAGCCCGTTTGGCGGTGGAACCACTGGAGGTGGGTCCTAGCCTTGCTGGTGGGCATCTTCACCTACGAGGGGGGCTTCTTTGTGTTGGTCGGCTTGATCCTTGAAGAGGGCGATGGCGACGATACAGGAGCTCACGGCGGTGGTGCAGCAGATGCAGCAGCA